GTTGCTGCTTCTACTAACAAAATCATTGAAGTCTTTAGAAGAGTTACCACTTTCAGAAACAGAATTCCAGTAACTTTGTATGGGAACTGTATCTATTCCATACTCAAACTGCTGTTAGATAAACTTAGTCTGCTAGTAAGGAAGTTCTAAATTGCAGGCTTCAACATCTACAAACTACAAAGCACTGCTTATATGCTCTGCAAATGACATAAGCATTGCTCTGTTTTTCTGGATGGAAGACTTTGTCCAAATTCTTTGGTTGGTATGTTGTCAGGGAATTAACATCACGCAACTTTGAGATATTACCTTTACTGTACTGTCATCAGAAGAAGGGATATGACTTGTCACATTCTTTGTCTGACCTTTAACTAAGGGCAATGCAAAAATCTTCACTTCTTACCTTTCAAAGCTTTGTTTTCAGAAGTCTGCTTTCATTCATTTTATATTATGAAACTTATTTACACAACAGGCTGTTTTCAAAGTTTAAAAGAACTCCAGTCCTAGCTGACAGGAGCACTACCGCACTCAGACAGCAAAGATTAGTGTGAGATTAGCCCCATAAACCTGTATTATTTTACCTGAAAGAGGCAAGCTTAGCAATGGTTGTGCAATTCTGTGTTGCATTACCTCTCAAATTGCTTGGCAAGCTCAAGCAATTCTATGCCCCACCTCAGCCCCCCAACTCTGTTCAGGTTCTTTTGACACCCAATCTGTTTTTCAAATCTTTCTGTGCTTTTGAGTTACTGCATCATTTCTAGAATCTGGAGTCTCTGACATCAGAAAGAAAATTCCTCTTAAAAAATCATACCAACCGTATGGTATGATTACTATTAAGTTAGAACTTCAGTATTTTTCTACATTTTAATTAAAAACACTAAGAAAAGCAGCAGGATACTACTGCTATACTGTAGCCAGTGCTGGCAGCATTTTCTAGTATATAGCCTGTCAAGCCTGCTGTGCTACAAGACCATTTGAGAAGAAACTTTCTTGTCAGGTGCCTGAGGAAAATGTGCAAGGACAGTTTTCACCCAAAACAGTTCAGCAATTGAGGAAAAGATAAAAAGAGATAAAAAGCACGTTTTGCACGGCTGGTCTGTCTAAACAGAAGTCACAGTTGCGACCAGAATCAGCAGTATTTGTTTTCATTCACATACTGTGCAACACTAAGCACACTGAACTCCTCCTTTTCCCTCTCCAACAAGTACAAACAAAATACAGAACAAGAACATGACACACAGGCAACAGTCATGATAAAATAAATGCCTAAAATTTTTATTCTGACCTCTACAGGTTATTTTCCTCACAAGTAAAATGGTGGAAACATGCCCTTTCCCAGTCTTAAACCAATTTTGTGACATTTCTGCAGTAGTCAGACACCATTAGACACCACAGAAATTCCCACAGTATTTGTTTATAAGCTTAGTTCCATGAAACAGCAGTAAAATATTTGTTGAATACTGTAGAGTTGAAATTGATTCAAAGTACTGGTACAGATGCAAACTGACTGAACTCTAAGTGTATAAATATTAGTTCCTAGCTTGCAGAGAATAAAAAAATAATCAGACTTGATGTAAATACATTGCAGGTCTAATTAGATCTGATCTTTCACACCTACCTTGGACAAAGGAATGAGAAAGTCCAGTTTATACGACAGAATCACTCTGGTTAACAATACCACGAACACAACATATGCAGAGTTTTCAAAGTCTGTTAACTGGACCTAGGCATGAAAGGATTAAATTACTTTAGTGGGAACACACTCATGGAAGTGGATAAATATCTGGGAGAGTATAAAACATTTTGACTTAGATGCTCATGTTGGTACTTGTATTCATACACACTCTACTAACAGAGATGGTGATGCACGAGCTGGAATCATCAGCAGTGACTTCGAATGCACAGTACATGCACACGCTTCAACAAGCTACCCTTTAATCCAATGCCAAAACACACTTGCATTTCAAAATACTATCTAATAACCTGCACCTTCAGGCTCTCCGTCTAATTACAAGTGTGTAACAGCTTTTAAATTTCTACTTTAAAGGGATTAAATTCAGAGAGCTCAGAAATAGACAACTATAAAATAAAAGCACTTGTGAAAAACAAAACAAGTGACAGTGGAATTGTTTGCTACCAGGAAAAGTACTGGAGAAATATAGTCCCCAGAAGCTAAATGGGGCTTTGTTTACTGTTGCTTTAATACAAGTCTAATTCCTTTCCCCATCACCCCAAATCCATTAGCATGCTTTGCTGTGCTGCAGTGGATTCTCCTGTCAGTTACATTCCCACAGTCCACGTCTGATTAAACACTGCTGTCCACTTCACTTGCATCTAGCAATTCAGAGGGGAGAAAACACAGCATAAGTAATAAGGGGTTGATACTGGATGGCAGAATGCCTGGTACTTTTCCACTTAAAGGGAAACATGCCTCTGTGCATACTGACGCCTTCCTTACCTCCATAGGTCTGAATTCCACTCTCCATCCAATATCTGAATTCGGAGGAGGAGGCTTAAACCTCATTGTCTGCCAGTTTGTAGACTGAATATTCTGCAAAGAACATGAAATAATCTGTCACAATCAAGATATGCATCATTCTATAATATAATCAAAGGAAAATAAGCAGCTAACTAATATTTTCCCTGGAACAGTCCATCAAGTTAGAGAAGCACTTACAAACTAAGTGGCATTACTTCTTAAAAACCACAGTCTAACTACCCACCCTACGAGCAAACGTTACACCTTCTTATATGTAATCTTCAAACAAAATAGCATAAGATACTAGGGGGCTGAGATTCAGCTGACTTTTTTTTAATGAGGGGTTGATGCATCCCAAACTTAAAATATCTAATATTTTTACAGCCTTATGCAATAATAGCTGTGGTAGAGACATTTATATATAAATGTAATGCAAAACAGTTTTGCATGCAAAACAGTTTTTAGGAAGCCATAAAAATACAGTTCCCCATAACACTTATATACATAGCTATAGTTTGGGTCCTTTATATTTTATTGTGTTTAAAGTATAAGCCACTACCGTCTCCTAAATAAATGATGAAACAAGTGTGCTTATACCTGCAAAATCATATGCCAAAGAACTAGTTCAAGCGAAAAATTCAGGAAAAAAATAAATCTTAGCTAATGTAGTCATCCTCCAATTAAGCAGTACTATAAGGAATAAGCAATTTTATGTATATATTTATTAAATTGCTCTAAATCAGCCACAACCTCAAAATGGTCAGATTCATTTGCATCATCTAGATGTATTTTCTCCTCAAACAAAGTCAATGGGTCTCGAATGAATAAGTGTGCAATATGCTGTGCCAAAAGGTGGTCGATACCTACAAAACGAAAATTCAAACAAACAGTTCAGATGTAGCAAAGCGATAGGAAACAGTGTTTTACAAGACTGAAAACATTCAACTGCAATGCTACCTCAACCCACCACATCCTGTTAAAGTTTAAATGATGACTTTGGGAAGGAAGGAAGCGATTTAAGAGAAAATTAAAACAAACCAACAGATTCTTGGTTGGAAATGGCAGCTAAATATTGGTGTGGCTGCCATTCTTCCTGTTTTCTGATGCACTTCCGTGCATGTTTCATAAAGCAGTTCTGCTCTCTCCACAAAGATAAAACATTAATGCGTCAAACACTGAGATTCTCAAGCTAGAATCAGGGATAGTTTCCACAACAAATGAATACTTTTTAAAACCCTCAAGATCATGCTACACAGATACTTCCTCAGTAGGAGTCACTCCAAAGGATGCAGAATGATTGAAACAAACAAGAATGAAAACGTAAAATATCCTCACATACTGCAAGCATAATTCTTAACCTGCTCATAATGAAGCAAACACTTACCTTCCTTTATTAGGTGCTCGTAGATCTCTTTGTCTATTGTCAAATCAATGTCATTGTATTTCTCACCACATTCAGATAGATAACTGTCTATGGAATCATATCTGGATTTACTGATTCTATAATGGTTGTTCTTCAGTGGCTATATAATTTAAGAATACAATATTTTAACAGCTTGTTAACAATGTTACCTATGTTTTGCTCACTAATGACACTCACGTGAGAATTATTATCCTGTTTAAAAAACCCTACAGCCTCAATTAAAATTATTCAAAGTGCAAGTCTTAAATAGGCTTAATAGAAAGCGATCCTGGAATTATGATTACTTTGTTTGTAGATGTATGTACCTGAGCGATAAAAACAGTCATCACACATTAACTAGAATTCTCTAAGAGTGGAAACATTTTCCTGATGTAATATACCATTACTCAAGTACCTGGAAAGCATTAGTATACCTATTAAAACGCATACCAATACTGTTTCATTATGCACACATTGTCAGAGATACTTTTAAAACGGGTAGCTCAAGAAATATTTCAAGTAGATTTAAATTTTTTTTCCTGTACTTTTGTACATGCCTTGAATATCAATTCCTGCTTAGAGAAACTCCTTAAGTTCACTTTCTGACAACTGGCTCTCTTCACACAGTTCTGGTTTATACTACTGGATTACTCAGCAGCACCTGCTATTTCATCCAAATCAATTTTTGCTTTACAGGCTCAAGCACAGATTGGAAAGTTTCATCACAGGGGAACCTTTTCAGCTGCAGAGGAGTGAGTAGAGTTGTACTGGGACTCCATACCTAACTAAAAATACATATTTGCTAACGTAAACTGTACAACCAAGGCAAATGTTTACACCATCTCTCCTATATTTACTGCAAAGACTGCCATGTTCCCTTGTTAGGGATTCTGATGAGCACAAGGAGAATTTGATACTAAAGAAGATTTAACTTTTTTTTGCCTGAAAAAATCAGACATCTACTACCTAACATTGCTTACCTCTAGCCCCCTCTCTTCTCGCGTTCGATCATCTACAGATGCAGAGATTACTCCCCAGCGACAGTCAATATCAGACACGTAGCCTCTGTAGAACGGAGATGCAGCACTCAACGCCATCTAAAATAAAACAGCCCGATATGAAAACAAAGGACAAGCCAAGGAACCAAAGACAAAATACAACCCCACTTGGAAAGGGAAACTTGCTGGTCCAAAAAGTAACTGAAGTATGTATTTCAGTTTAACATACAGACAAAGCCCATACAACCACAAATCTCTCAACTGCTATCTCCAGCAAATGCCTTGATGAAGGCTGAGCATTATTGAAGCAGCATCTGACACTCTCCAAATTTATTACCTCTACAGATCAGCATTTAAGGAACACAAAGATGATACAGGCAGAAGCAGCTTCGTGATAAAGCAGCAAGTATTCTGCTCGCCCACTCCCAAACTCCACTTGGCAATCATTTTGTTTATTTTTGTTTGGCCAAGCACCTTAGCAACACAGCTGGAATACACTTCACTGGGAGCAGGATCTGCTTAACACCTAGACCAGACCAAAACTTTATTTTTATAACATCTGTTATAAACACCTGTTTACAATCACATGTTTACAAAAGGGACAGTTTTAAACAACTTAAGCTGAAACCCTCTGTAACATCAGACCAGAGTTAAAAAATTAAAAACTCTTTTAAGGAGTGAGCTTGTCTTGTTTGTGTGAAAGATTGCCCCAAATGTATTTCTAGAACTATTCAATGTAAGTCTCATGCATGTGGGAAGGAGGGCAGAGGAAAAGAAACAGACATCATCTGTTTTGTGGTGTCATTTAGACATTAAATAAATCACATTTCTCATGTTACAACCTATCAGCAGGCTGACATTCCTCCCAGAGTACCAAATTTGTGAGTAGCATTCAAGGTTGTTTTGGTTTTTTTTTTCCTATTTAGATTTTTTTGGGTTTTTTTTTTTTTTTTACATGTAGATGCTTTTGCACAAAGAACTGATGTGGTAGAAGTCCATTACTTACTACAATGGGACAGATCGTGGCTAGCTGATCATAGAGATACCTTGCTTCAGAAATGCTACAAGCCTGGAATGTTACCTGTTGGAAGAAATACAATTGCTATCACATTTTCTATAATCATAGCATAAGCACAGTCTTCCTAGATTTAGAATCAATTATATAATAAAACAATTTAAATACCAAGAATTAAGGGGTGTTTGTTTGGCTGATTTTAGGTGAGGTTTTTTTTGTGTGGGTTGCCTCTCCACCCCCCAATTCTTGGACAAACTTTCGCCCCATCCATCAGCAACATTTCTATCACAAGCTTCTTTTCATACCATTTCCATGTTCATTAAAAGATTTTAGACCACAAGGCTTTGGCTGTGAGGCTAAATATACAAACACTTGACAGAACCAAAAGAAAACTGAGTTAACATCTACAGTGCACATAGGTTGGTAATGCACCTTCAGGAAATAAGCCAGGAACCTACTTACTTAGAACAACAATCAGAAACTATTGTAGATTTAACATTTGTTTTATGTGGCAGCTAATCCTGTTTTAAAGAACATTTCAAGACACCTTTGTTTGATCCTGCGAAACTGAAAAATAATTATCTTCATGACTACTGTAACTTTATTTAAAAAAAAAAAGTCCAGTTTTGCCTGTATTAAAGGCCAAGACACAGCAAGAGACAGAAAAGAAATGTCATTTGCAGAAGCAATTAATGATCTGGAAGCCCTACCACACATAAGCCACTGGAAAATAGAAGTTCTTTTGAAACTTATGGTGAAATTTGCTCAGTGTCAAACACGAGACATTTCTCAGAGCAGACCTTGCCCTCCAGACTTCCCAAACTGACACTTTATGCATTTTAAAAATGCAGAGGAGGATCAATCACCTCAAAACTGTTAAGATGCTAAACAGATTAAAAGCCTCTTTCTCCTTCTTTGTAGTTTACATATTCATTCAGAGGATAACTTAGATGGGAGTGTACCCCTGTACCACTATCATAACATTGTAGAGCAGGCTTCAGCTCTAAATCACCATCACTGCTTGCTGTCCTGAAGAATGCCAGCAGAACACAGAGTTTCCTCTTCTACAGATTACATTTAAGAGTCCCACAAAATATACAGGTTCTTCTCAGGCTGCTGCTGAAGCCTGATCCCAAGTAAGCTTAAAATAATTAATCAACAAAAAACCCACCCAAACCCCCAAAAAACTCTGCTATCAGAAAAAACACCCCAAACCCACACTCTGAAAAGACTATTTAATTCTCTTGTGAGGAAGCAGCCAAGCATGACTTCCAATCACTAATTTTGGACTTCCAGCACTAGGGAGCTTGCTTTGGGACGGGGAGGAACAGGACACCCTACGCTCTTTCCTCTGACACAGCCACATCCGCCTCCCCTTCCCTTTTACATTTATTCCAAATCACAACAAAACTGGGATTCCACCTGGTTTCTAGCCAGGCATCCCAGTACAGAGGAAAAGAGCATGGCAGTCTTCTCCAGAGGAGAGCCGCAGGCACCGCAAGGACTGCAGAAAGTGGCAGCCACGAGCACAGGGCTCAGCCACCACAGGGACGTGAAGCCTCAAAAGTGGCAGGAGCGCAATGGTTGGCCTTGCCCCACTGCGGGCTGTCCCAGCCGAGCTCATCAGGACATTATTTTTAACTTTGGAAATATATCAAGCCAAGTTGTAGCTTGGTGCATAGTGAGGGGAGGAAGAAAAAAGAAAAAAGAAAAAAGTAAGTATGCATATTGTGAACTACCTTACAGAAAATAGGTGGGGAATACATTTTCTTCTAGTTGGTTATCAAGAATTATAAGCTGATACATCAGCAGCTGCTTATAGCACCCACTAGCCTTGTTTTCATTCTCCCTGTGAGGATAACAAGGTTACCGAATTTGAATTTGACCACTGACTACAAGAATGGGGAATAGTAAAATGGTATTCTGTAAAAATGTATTTTTAAACAAGTTCATACAATTACTGAATGGTAAGGCTGTATTTCTTTCACTGGTCTTAAAAAAAAATAGATGGTACAAAATAGACCACACTTAACACCTTGTAAAAACACAGTATTACATACACTTTACTACTTCGTCAGATTCTCCCTGAAACAAGAAATCATACTTAGCTGCTGTCAAGAACATTTTATTTATTCAGCTTTTGTACTTTCTCAATCTCAAAGGGAAGTGCTTTGAATGGGGTTATTTCTGCCACAGCTGTCAAACAAGAGCTTGGAGAATTTCCTTTAATCCTCTAGAGACTTAACACTAGCCTCTTCCTAGCTCTGCTTCCGAGACAGCAGTGGCAACAGGCAGATTTTATCAACAATCAAATAGATCACTCCTACCTATGCCATCAGCCCCTAGCATCAAGTTACTGTGAGAGAAAAACATTTAAAGCAAACAGATTTGAAAGGATTAAAGCACTCCCAAGATACAGCACCTGGATTTAAATGGAGGATACTGTAAGATAGTAGTAACTCAGGCAAGTGAATGGAAACAATGAAAAGGGAGCATGCATTAACAGGAGAAAACAGAACAGAAAGGTCTCCCAGCATGCAGTAACAGAAGACAGCTATCCATGTGGATTTGGTAGGTTCACAGTACAAGCAGTGAGAAGACAAATTCTTAGCAGATAGCTAAAAATATTTAAGAATGAGAAATTTTATACAGGAGTTCATGCTGTTTGTAAACAAACTAAAATTACACAGAAGGAAAGCTACTTATTTTTAAAGTTATTCCAACGACTCCTTGTTATTCCTTGCTTTTGTTGTTCTAAGAACGGGGAAGAGGTAAAATACCCAAAATAAATAACCAAAAAACCCCATGTGTTCCTACAAGACAGCTCAGTTTCTATTCCCACAGTGTCTTTTGGTCATGCCTGAAAGGCCACCACAGTGGAAAATGATCTTTTACTCTTGAAAAGTGCTGGACTTCCAGAAGGTCCTTGATCAAATGGGATTTAACCAGTTCAAGAAACCCTTTCAGCAAGGCATGCAATTACATTTGAATATTAGCAGAAAATAAACATAAAGCAAGCAAACCTGGATTTTAAGACTACCCTCCAGGTATAAGATTAAATCTGTTGTTTTAGTCCCCCTTTTGCCACTCTGAAAACAAATCAGTTGAATTAAGCTAGAGAAGTTAGACACAAGGCAAGTCTAAAAAAAAAAAAAAGGGAAGTGTTTAGGGAACATTCAGTAACATCTTGAAAGCAGACGCATTTTACCTGAAGACAACAGTTTCCCATTCCAAAACCCATAGCATCCATGTATATATACTCTGGCTTAGCTGCCTTTGCTGCTTCTCCGTCATCATTAGGAAACGTTTCAATAAATGGTGATGGCGTGTTCTTATCTTTAAATACTGTGTGAAAAATGCAGGTACTCAGTAACCCAGAGCATTAGCTTGCACAATTATTTTGAAAAAGAAAAAAGATAGATTGAATTTACTCACTTGGTACATTTATCACAACCTTCTCTCCTCTTCGGTGCCGAATGTTTCTGGTCAGTGTACTACAACAATAAAAAAGGTTGCTGAAATATCTGACAGTTTCTCTTTATACAAATGTTTTTGCAGTTAGTTTCTCAGACATTCTCAGAGTTTTAGAATGTCAATTTTCTATTTGTTTTGAGCATTTTCCTTCAGGACACTTCTTTTCCTAGTTTAAGACACACTATGACAGACAACACTGAATTTTTCTTCAGTAAAGTCAGTCTTATTTTGATGGACTTCACAGTACCATGCTGAGAGAACAGGCAGAAGTAAAAGGCTACTGACTAGAAGAAGGCTGAATGAAAAGGTATGCTTAGCTTTTAGATAGAATGATTTTCATTCTCCAGTTTCACCTTACAATAAAAACCTCTCAGACTATACAAGTAGTTTGACGCCATGCTCTACTTCAGAGTAACTGAGATGTTGCTGTGACATATCTGAGCAAGAGCTAGATTAACTGTGATGGAAGCAGTTAGCCATGGGATTTTAAACGGGAAAAAATTTTGCAGTAGTATAATCAACACCTTTTTCCCCATAATGGTGTTAACTACTATATAAAATTACTTGAACCTAACAGTTTGCTTTAAGTCACTTTGACAAAAAATACTGTCATCATAACCATCTCTGTTCAAGTCCTTGGGATATCTGCAGCAACTAGTCACGTACCTCCCTATTCCAGTAATGTAAAGAAATTGCAGGCATGCCTATAATATTTAGGCAGAGAAAAATAGTCAGCTTCTCATTCACACTCCCCAAATACTCTTACCTAAATCTGGGATGTTTATTGATGGCTTCATCTGGAAAAAAGAGGGATTTTGAAGCTCCTCCTTCTACAGGCGTTGGCTTATATTCTGGCAGCGTAAACCCAGGACACCCTAACCTGTGTAACATAAGAGAGATCCAAGCTGTAATGAAAACAGACTGTGATTTTAAAACAATCAGATGATTGAAGATGGGATTCTAGTAGACAAAAGAATAAAGAGATTTTTTTAAAAACTTGCATCTACCATGAGTATTTCTGAAGCGCTTTTTAAGACTGCTGTCTATGCATGTGGAATTGCCAGAAAGAGGTCTTAAAAAAGTTGCTGTTCAAACATCAGCTGCTTACCAACAACCAGCCTTGTGGTGATTAAAACAGACCTTTTATTTATTTAAAACCCACACTATTATTAGACAGTAAACATGGACCTTTTCAGTGGCTGAAGCAAGAAACTTCAGTGTTATGCAGAGTACACACACATTTTAGAATGTTAGCACCTGTCATTAGATTGGATATTAAGAAAAATTTATTTGCCAAAACAGTTGTCAAGCACTGGAACAGGCTGCCCAGGGAAGTGGTTGAGTCACCATCCCTGGAGGTATTTAAAAGACCTGTAGATGTGGTGCTTAGGGACATGGGTTAGTGGTGGACTTGGCAGTGTTAGGTTAACCGTTGGGCTTGAAGATCTGAAAGGTCTTTTCCAACCAAAACGATTCTATGATTAATACTGACAGGCAGTTGCATTCTGTGACTTAAAACAGTTTCTCTAGAGAGTACAGGTTAACATTGACCACCCAAGATTTATCCAGCTCTGCTCCCAACAATCTACCCCTGTTAAAAAGATGTACCTAACCAACCCTAAGAATTAGAGGTAGTTTCAAGTGATACACACATCCCAAGTGTCACAGCAGTTTGCTATTTTAGAACTCTGAAAAGAACCATAAATGAGATAAATGTAATAAGCAAAGAAAAAAGATACAGCTATTAGGTGTAAAATGCTGAGAGGCATGCAAGTAAGTCAGAATACAACTCTCCCCTTTGGAACCCTCATTCTAAGTTTAAGAGTCATCTGAAGCAAGAATAAGTAGGTTTTCAGTACAACTGAGACAAAGGGGCATTTGACAAGTTGGAGGTAAAGTTGCAGAAGATTAATTTATCCATGCTGCACAGTATAAAGGGAAAAGATTGAGCTATCTTGAGAGGGTCTAGTATTTGGATGTATAAAAAGGGTTAGTTGATACAAGCAGCAAGCTTTTCAAAATACCAGTAAGCACTCACATTTCTGGGAATATTATTTATGCTCAACATGTATTTCACTATGGGTTTCTTCCTGGTTTGAATATACAAATTGTCCTAAAATGTGTAAACTCAACTTCATCACTTAAGTGCAATGTTGTAAACTGCATCACTGCAGTCCTCAAGAAAGAAAACAGCTTTCTGGTCCAGTAGTGAGGGCTCACAAATTTAAGAACTAGAGATGCTCGTTTAGCTTCTAAGCTAGTATTTTTGAATATTTAAGCATTTTCATGTTTGTTCATTTTTAACTGAGTTATTTTAATTTGAATAAGCCTACTACTCTACCTTTCTTCTGTCAGCACTCTAACAATTTTTTTTTGTCTTTTCAGATGCAGAGATTTTTTTTTAGTTATACACACATGTATATGCACAGACACGCACAGGCATATGTACATGTTACTGTAGAGAGAATGTAGCAAAGAACTCCAAACTCACAAAACCTCAGAAATATGTTAGCAAGACTCCAGTCATACCAACAGGTACTTGAATGGCAAGATAGCAAAAGGCAGAAATCAGAAACTAGATAGCCTAGGGAGAGCAATTTCTGAAGGATGAAACTATGTTTGGGATGATTGATAAGTAATAAACTACATTTTATTATTTACTGGCTTTCACTGAAGTTCATTGCTCATAGAATGCTGTAAAAAGTAAATCTAAATACAGTAGTGCTGTATTGCTCATACAATGATGTAAAAAGTATTTATCTGTATCTACAAAGTGATGAACTCCTCCGCTCCCTTTCTTCCTTGCAAGATTAGGTCTGAAATGTTTGTACACAAAATTTATTAAATGACAATCTATTTGTGAGGTTGCAGTGCAAAAAAAATCCCAATTCTGTAACACACTGAGAACTACTTAACCACTGGACTTTAAATAAGTTCTTATTACTTTAGAGATATCTCATATAACTCCCACAAAGAGGAAGCATATTTTGTCAGAGCGTTCTTAAAATAGCATTCATGGGGCATAATGCAGGCATTTTGGTACCTGAACTTTGCTGCTAAGTCACATTTTGTACCATTCTTGCTCTAGACAAGAATTGAGGGCCACTGCATTCTGTAGTGTACAAGCAACAAGCCAGTAAGGCCAGCTACTTCTCTTCTACTGCAGAGCAGATTTTTTTTTTTTACTTTAAGCATAACTATCTTCATTCACTTGACTGACCAGGCCTGTTAGAATGAACGTAATAAATCCCTGCCTAGAGTTATGTTTGAAAGTAAGGTCACAAAGTACATCCTGAATTTCCTTTCTTCAATAATCTCTTTACAACAATAAAAAGGAGGAAATCTACCCTTTGCAAGGGTGTTATCAACCCAGGAGAGGTGCTCTCCTTTCTAGATTCAATAAGTACAGTGTTATTGAGGTTTTAAGTCTTAATTTTGTAAGGATAACCACATTCCTGTTCTACCGTGTGCACCAAGCCACCAAAAGAAGTTTGCATGTGCTTTAATGAAAAGGTAGTGTTAAAAAAAATAATGAGGTTAACCATGTTTTACACAACTGCTATTTATAAAGATCAAAGGTTGCAAAATCAGGAAAGAGAAACCTTTTATATATGATTTGCCATATCAACTCAAGATGGCAGACTACTCTATATACAATACTTTCTGTTATGAAGAGTCAGGTATTCTCTCCTAATACAAAATCATCACAGATTACAAGTAACTTAAATACAAGAGGTGCTTGTTTGTCTCACTGCAATACGAATTTTAGGAAAAGTGACTGCAACATTAAGTACCTTAATTAAATCATGTTTTGCTTGGTTTCATTGTACAGTTTAGCTATATGCAATAAGGAGAAAAAGCATATAAGGGGAATGGAAAATGTGGCATTACACTTCAACAACCATCTCACCTTGGAAATGATGTCACAGTGCAAACAGCCTCATTTTCTTTGAGCACAGAAGCAGCCTCTTGCCTTCTTTTCCTCATGTTGTCTTGCACTGTGTTGAATTCAGACATGGTTCCCCCATACGGCTGCCCAGGTGTCCCTTCAATCATGTAACTTCCATATTCTGGTCGCCAGAGTGTTGGGTGGCTGTAATAAAAGAATAGCTTCATTTACATATTTCTGCAACTTCAAAAAAGATGGATTACTTGCGAGAATTTCAGAAACAAATGCAACTTGCCAGAAAAATCTCCTAAATTTGATTATTCGATAGAGTAACAGTGTACCTCATTACCAGGTGAGGCAGTGAAAAGAAATTAAGGCACAGCTTGGCAGCAGGAAGTGTTGATGTATAGTGCAATAAGCTGCATTTGCCCATGTCAAATTTCAATCACCTTTAGCATCTGTCTCAAGTTTTGTTTCTTGGGGTTTTAATTGAAACTGGAAAATACAGAACATCCAACTGCTTCCACAATACAAGGCAAGGCAAAAGTTATGCTCAATTTCTTCTTTCTGCCGTCCTGTTGCACAAATTGATGAGGTTAGGAAATGAAGTTTGAGGGCACCTAGTCACCTTTGAAAAGTAACCCCTTCCCATCCCCTTGTGAAGCCATTCCACCTCTACGGAACACACTACCACAAGCAGAGCCACATGTCCCTTACTGCTCTTGTGGCAGGAGCAGTTTTGAGCCCAAAAGCAAAGGGATTCCTTCTTGCATGCTTTCAATAATCCCTCTACCGAGAAAGACAGACAGGGAAGCCTTACTGGATGGTTAAGGTACGTAGAAAGAAGCAGACAGGCCCAGGGCACAAAAGCCTTTCATTGCTACAGCAGAATTTATCTACCCTTCTGTAAGATGTGACCTGCTTTTGGCTCTCTTCAGCCAAAACACTTTGGTGTCTCTGGTCTCATCTCTCTGCTGCCATCAGTTAGAAGGTAATTCACAGTTGTCTGGCTAGCTGAAATAGGGATATAATCTAATTATTCCTGAAAACTCCATGGGAGATGATGGGGAAGAACTGCTCTGCTGTCCTTACATCTACCTTCCTAATCCTGTCAAAAGTGGGAGAGTGTTCTGACAAACAGGCTTCCCTATACAGCTCTCACTGGCTCCTGTAGTCAGGGATACAGGGGTAAGTGCACACACATGCGCTTTACAGGGCAGGAAAGGTCTCGTACACTATTACTGTGTACACACAGACACAAAAACCAGAGCAAGACAAAACAAATACCCAAACTGCAACTTCTGTGGGCTCACTGTTAACATCCTCCTTTTTTTCAAGGTGTAACGTAGAAGGTACACAGAATACCTGCAAGCATGTTAGAAATCTTTCACTTCCTGCACCCCACATTTATCTGAAAATATCGGTATCTGTGGCTTAGTTTTACTGATAACAGACTTGAAATTTAAGCCAGGTCTACAAAATTCTGTACAGTATCATAACAGGAGAGAAAAAACAGAAACAGGAAACAGCTACTCACTTGGGGTTTACCTTCTCCCCCTTGTCTTGCAGTGTTTGAAGAACTTCCTCACCGCAGAGCACCAAGCGCACTTTCTTATTCTCATGGTCAAATTTTACTAACATATATTCCACCTTGTAAATAATAAAAACAAACCAAACAATTAAAAGGTAAGATTTTGTTCACACACAAACGTTCTGGCACATAATTTCAAGCATAAAGGGGAAAAAAAAAGGGATGTCAGACTGAACTTCACCTCTACAGAAGCTTAAAAACCATCACTAGCTATGAATATACCAGAGGCCATGGCTGCAAGCTTATTTCATCTTGAATAAAGAACTGAAATCCCTTGAAATTGGCCTTGAAACTTTTCCCCCTCCATTTCTAATTGTGGCTATTTTGCAAGACGATTCCTGAATTTCTATTTCCCTCCACATAATTCAGACAAAATAATTTGAAACCCCATGCAAGCTATTACCCACAAATCTCTGTCATCCTATGAGTTATCGTCTCCACTGCTGACAAGAACCAAACCAAACAAAAAAGAGTCATTGTACAAACAAGACACACATTTACACCCATCACTTGTTGGAGCTATTTAAGACTAGCACAACAGAGCCTCATTTACACTACAGAAAGCCCATGGTTGTTACAGACAGCATCAATCCTGCTGTTAATGCACTCCAGCTCTTGGTACAGCACGGGGATTTGCATCCATTCTTGATTCAGCTTTGCTGCCACCTTTTCTTCCCCTCCTGCCCAGCAGCATACCTCGCCCCTGGACCTCTGTCTCCTCACCCCTGTCCCTCCCTACCCCACAGGGCAACCCACACTCAATCCAACGAGTCACTAACGACAGCGGTGCTGTGTCCCAGTGCTGGAGAATATTGTTTCCCTAACAGAGATTATCTGAAAGCAGCCAAACCTGGAACACCCTCATGTCAGACTTTCTAATCTTCATGCGTACTTGCTATCAAAGCTCCTGTAAAGACTTTTAGAGCGCTACCCAGTATAGCAACAGAACAGCTGCCTGGACCCTATAGCCCTTCCATACTTACTGATACAATCTATTTCCTGATACCTATTTGGCAGGGAATGCTTTGTGCTGTTCTGGGAAGCGCGAAAGACAGAACAACCCCCAAGTGCAATGTACTGCCTAAAAGCAGAAGTCATACCTGGAAATGCATCACAAGAGTACTGGCTTTGAAAATCCCCAGCTGGATCAGTGGTGATACACAGTGCCTTTTGTTAGAGGCTCTCAAACCGCTGCCTTGAGACTGTCACTAACACAAACATCAACTTGTAGTTAAAAATTCGGGCTGCAGTTCCACAGCCTAGAACTTGTCAGAGGTTTTGCACCATGCTCCTCAGTTTTGTTTTCTGACACTGCCAAAACACACATCCACTGGTACTTACCACACACCACTGCTCCAGCCTAGTTCAGATTCATGCAAGATGCTGACGTTAAAGCTGCAGCATACCAACTCATGGCAGCTTCTATTTTGTACAGAAATCTGATGTGTATACGAAAGCAGCTTGCCAAAACACAGGGAACTTGTGCAGGATTTTCCAGCACACTGTAAGTAGATTTGTGGGCTTCATGTTCTTTGGTTGCTTCAGTGTTCGTGGAAGTTATTGCTAGCTACCGTGACAACGAATGTAATCCTCTGTTGGGATTTGCAATTAAATCACAAGCAGCATTATCCAAGAGTGTTCGTAACTCTACAGAATCTGATTAGATGCAAACTCTGGAGAGACTCATTCAGCAATTATACATGTTCTCTTTATTTTTTAAGACAAAATTTTAATCCCCTGAAGAAAAACAATGATTTCTAGTTTCTGTGCAAGACAGTATTTCTTTGTGTGGCACAGTTTGTGGTTTGCATGTATTATGCCACAATAATCTACTTGAGATAACTACAGACTATAGTCAACCAGAACGCACTCTAGCACTGATTTACTTGTTATATGGTACCAGTCTCCCCAGTGACACCTGACCTATGATTATTGGCAATACAAAGTGACTTCTCTCACACCTTCCAGTTTTCTACTGCATTCAACATTATCTCCTCCTGCTTTGGAAAAGCATCATCCTCACTCAGACCCAGCCTAAACTAGAGGAGGTATGCAAGCGCACAGTTCTCAGGGTCATACAGACAGATGTGTGAATGGGCATCAAGCCCACCGCATGCCTGACCTCCTACCACACTGCCCACATGGGCTGGCAGCAGAAGACAGGGCAAAAGAACTGCAGCTGCCATCAAGAGACCCCAACGTTGAACGTTTTTCCACCATTACATGAATACATTACTGTGATTAGCCTCTCATCTTAAAAATCCCTCTCCAAATGTAACTGCAATGAGCTGGTAGTGTGAAGACTGTGCTTCTCTATAAATCGTATTACAAGTTTCACAAAAGAAAATAAGCCAAAAATGTAAAGAAACATTAAGCTAAGGAGGCAAAGCCAAAGAAATCAAAATGTTTCATAATCCAAGTGCAGTAGTGAATAGATTGCATTTATGCATCCAGCTTTAGAAACAACTACTCTTGCCTCCAGAAACATTGACTAATCTTCAAAGCTGTCTTAACACACAGAAGATCTGCCATTAATTTTGACGAGAAAAGAAAAACCCCAAAAACTTCAGACAGTTGCCAACAATTCCAAGTAACCCAGTGTCTTGCCAACAGGGGGACTGACTGAATGTGCATACTTAAAGAATTTAATTTAGTTCATCAAAAGATTTAGCTTACAGCTAGAAAGACAGAAACAAATTCAGAGTTCACACATTTTTACATTTAACTTCAGCTCATCACTCACAGACTTCTCAGATGTTTTCTATCCACAATAAAGTTGAAAGAAAAGCATCAGCGCACATGGCAGAGCTTCAAGAGTCCGAAAACCAAATATGTGGTGTTTCACCCAACATTCATAATTCATCATTTTGCCAAGCTCTTTAGAATTCGTTTTTCTCTAATTTTAACTAGGCTCCCTAGCAAGCAGCAAAATACACATCAGGTCAAATTACTGACGCAGATGGCTGACAAGCAGCCTTGCTAAAAGGAAAGCACACCTTGCCACGGTAAGAAAGGTGGCCACTTTGGCCTCGTGTGCCTAACCGGTGCTCTCACCCTGCAGCAAACCCTGCGCATCTCTATCCTCTGGTCGGCACGTGCTGCAAGGCTGCTGAGGACAAGAGGTGGCCTCCCCGCTTCTTCCTGCGGACAGACACGCTCAGCACTGATGCAGGGGATGAACCTCCGCAAGCCAGTCAGATCTGGGCTGGTCGGAGAAGTGCTGTGGCACCTTAGCAGGAGAAGGAACAACAATTTGGCCAGCAAAGTTGAAAAGCAAAAGCTGTAAATCCACACACATGCGCACACACACAGAGCAAGCCTAAAAAATAGTTAAAAATTAAATGCATTAAAAAAGCAAATAAATTCTCAGTTAAAGCAAATAGTCTGAGCATAATAGATCTATCTACCCATGAGCCAACACAAAGAAAAACTTTCTTTGCATGCTTCCTTCCTCTTAACTACTGACTTGCAACATACTGCATCTACAGAGTACTTCCAAGCCAGCTCCACTCCACTGCCACATCTTCTCAGGAAGGAGCATGCACCACTAGCTTGCCGGCAGGACAGCACCCAGAACAGCATTACTTCACTTGTCACAATTATTTCTCACAGTCAGCTGCAAGGAAGTTTCAGGCTTTTGAAAATTCTTTCCTGTCACCTCTGTAAATACAACCACAATGAGACCTTGAAGCCCCTCAACTGGGGAGGAGCCAAAGCACTCTCCGTATGTTAAGCCAGTCGTGCTGGACTTTCCCAGTGGCAAAGTGAAAGATGACTGTTTTCTGAGTAAGAATGTCTAAAATCGTGTTTGAATGCCTGAGTTATTTGACCATAATTGCACCTATTATTTCTGCATAAAACAGACTACTTCAAAAGGAAGAAACATCAGTCAAGTGACTCTTCAGTAGCAATTCTAAGGAACCAGGAGAACTGAAGTCAACATACATTCTACATGGTATCGCCATCCAAATACGTGCCTTGGCAGTGGTCTGCATTCCAGTATCAAAAACCCTCCTCACACACTCAATTTCATAGAACTGTAGAATGGTTTGAGTTGGAAGGGACCTCAAAGATCATCTAGTTCCAACCCCCCTGGCATGGGCAGGGACACCCTCCACTAGACCAGGTTGCTCAAAGCCCCATCCAACCCGGCCTTGAGCACTTCCAGGGAGGGGACATCCATAGCTGCTCTGGGCAACCTGTTCTAGGGCCTCACCATCCTCATTGTAAAAAGTTTCTTCACCATCACATTTAACACCATTGTACTAAGTACACTGGCAAGAAAACCTATCTAATAGTTGAGTAAAGCCTCTACTCCAGAGTTAATGTTAAAATCCTTTTAACATTCAAAGTATTTGACAGAAGGTATTTCTGCATATGAAAACACAGGTAAGCATACAGTCTGGACTCTGGTAAGCTCAGAAGGTGCTGAGAAGATTACATAATAGAGGAAAATAGTTTAAGAAAGATCTGAGGAGAAGCTTTTTTGAGAGGAAGACAATGCAAGTGTGTATGCTCTCTTCCTGTGAAAAACAGATCCCTGCATTCACCTTTTACCACACTCCTGATCATCCATCTCAGCTATGGATGCCCCCTCCCTGGAAGTGTTCAAGGCCAGGTTGGATGGGGCTTTGGGCAACCTGGTCTAGTGGATGATGTTCCTGTCCATGGCAGGGGGGTTGGAACTAGATGATCTTTGAGGTCCCTTCCAACCCTATCCATCCTGTGATTCTAAAAAAACCTGATTGCAGGTGATTCATGGACCACCACTGTTCCTCAAGGACAATCTTATTTCCTTCTCCTTCCACTGGGTAACTACTGCCACAGGTACTTGGAGCAACTGTTTGCAGTCTCCTCATATGTACCTTCCCTCAGGCTTGGAGCTTTAAGAGAAATTAGAAATTTTTCCTAAACACTCAATGAGGTCTCATGGATTTTGTTTACTATTACCAAAAGCCACTACAACACTTAATGTAAACATTTTCATGCAGTATACCTCATATTTATACATACATTAGAAAATAAAATTGAGGTAAAACTTTCTTCTCAAGAGCATCAAAGAAACAAAACCCATTTCATTAGTTATTAAGCTCCATTATGCCAAAAAAGTGCAGTTCCT